TGTTCAGCTGAGTCTCTGTGGTGGGGCTGCTGTATACGGACACAGATAGGAGTATGTCACGTACAGAGTTGCCACACCATCTAGAATCTCCACATGACCTGTTGGAAAGTGAAGTGACTGACCACTGACACAATGCAGTCAAACATTAAGCTGTTAGTAACACTGACTTATTAACTCAGTTTACTTTGTGCCGTTAGCACTTTAATTATTTTATGGTGATCAAAGAAAATGGGACGCAGGAATTTTTTAAAATGTTTATTTATTTTTGATAGAGAGAGAGAGCAGGGGAGGGGCAGAGAGAGAGAGAACGGGACAGAGGATCCTAGGCAGGCTTTGCCCTGATAGTGGAGAACCTGACTCGGGACTTGAACTCATGAACTGTGAGATTACGACCCAAGTCGACCTCAGACACTCAACCAACCGAGCCACCCAGGGGCCCCAGGATGCAGGGATTTTGAGATGAGAAGAAGGAATGGTTGTTGTACGAGGAGCAGATTCCAGGCGGAGCACTCCACATGGGACCTCAGGCTTCAGTGGGCTATGACATTGGCCACTGACCATTAGTGAGAGGGTTGAATGTACTGAATGTACAAAAGTAAGGAGAGTAAAATAGAGAGAGGCTCTCCAGATCGTGTTCACATTTACACTCAGAAACATTTTTGGTGTGTTTTATACATAAATGCACACAATCACATATCACATTGGGCAACTGGGAAAATGTCTGCCTCATGATAGGGATTTGTTAACATGCATCCTTATTCTACTAGGTCTGAAACAGTAAATGTTAAATACATGATGCAATCAGAGTATGTGAACTTGACCTAAGAAATTCCTCCACAGCAAACCCACGGGAGTGGATGATGTGATACACCTCTCCAGTGCACAGAAGCCTCCTGCTGCACTTGGGATTAGGGGGTGGAGTCCTGTCTGTTCAGCACTGGTCATATCTCACTGAGGGGTTTGTACTCACAAAGGCAACAGAACAGTGGGGACAAGTGACCAAGATGGAGGAGATCTCAGAATGGAGTCACATGAAGGAGGTTGAAAAGTGAGAGGGGAGGGACACGTGCGTGGAAGCAATCCTCTCTAGCTGAATGAAGAAATTGGCCATGAGGAAAATGAACTCATTTACATTAGTGGCAAGTAATGTACTAGAAGGACAGATTCCTAGATGATTCAGATTTCACTGTATTGCTTCCGTTTTGATTGTAAGCCACTTCCACCCCCACAGTCACAAACAAACAAACAAACAAACACCATCATCTAAAATCATAAGGGTAAAAACATATTTTGTGCCATGTGGTGGGTTCAGTATTCTCTCTCCACTATTCATGTCCACCCAGAATCTCAGAGTAAGACCTTATTTGAGAATAAGATCTTTGTTAATGTAATTGAGGTAAAGATGGAGATGAGATCATACTGGGTTAAATCCAATGAGTGTGTCCTTATAAGAGACAGAAAAGGACACACAGAGATAGCAAGGAAGGCCGTATGAAAACAGAGGCAGAGATTGGGATGATGGTGAGATACCAGGAGCCACCAGGAGCCAGAAAAAGCAAAGAAGGACCCTCCCCTGGAGCTTTTAGACGAAGTGAAGTCTTACCAGTGCCCTGATTTTGAACTTCCAGTCTTTAGAAATATACAAAATTTCTAGTGTTTTCAGCCACACATTTTGTGCTAATTGCTTGGAGCAGCCCTAAGACTTTGATAGAGGTAAGTTCTATGGAAAATTGACAGATAAGCAGATATTCAAGAAAAATACAAATAATTCAGACTGATTATATTAGTCTTGAGATCAATATACTCCCAAAATATAAATTCTAGTATTTTTTGCCAAGGAAGGGGCCCACAAAAACACAAGTCCCCGGGGCCTGTGGAAGTCACAAGGTCCTGCAGACACCCAGGATGAAAGTCACCCCCACACCAGAAACTGATGGACATTTCTACTAAATACTGCAAGCAGCAGCGAACGCTATTTGTTAAACTAGGCAGGATCAAACTATTTACTTTTTCCATAATGTGTAACTCTAGTACCTACAGTCTTATATTGTTGACGCCTTGAGTCCCATCACATGGAAGAATTCTTTCCTCTGACAGATCTCAGCAGACAGATCAAGGGCTCCGATAAAACTGAGCAGCAGTCTTAAGATTTCTGATATCCTTGCTCCTTTACTGGGGTTGTTCAAGTCTCTGTGTGTGACACACTCCTATTTTTGCTTTACAGTCTGGCTGCGTGACACACGCCATCTTACTGCAGGGTAGATCTACCATATCGGCGGGCGTGCAGACCTAACAGAAAGGCCAACATATGTAATTAGAGGCAGATCATTCTAACTGGAGGGCTTGCATTTCTAATAGAAGGCCGTGCCGATCGGGTGGGAGGACATGCATATCGAATAGGTTGATACAGAGATCAAACTGGAGGGCACACAAACCCCCTTGAGGGGCGTGCTTCTCTGACTGATTGGCATACATGCCTAATTGGAGGCCATCGGTGTCTAGTAAGATCCATGCATTTCTAATTGGAAAATAGGGAATTAAACCTCAACCTTGGGTATTGAGTATGGAAGTTTCTACGGAAATGAGGGTGCTATAGCTTTTATTTTGTGGGATAGGGAGAAGTACAGATAAAGAGTTTATCTTCAAAGAGTTTTTTTTCCTCACCCAGAATCATGTGATAACTAAAGCTATAGGAAGTAGCAAATTCACATACAGTGATCTACTCTTGCCCAATATATTATTGTTTTGTTATCAGATGCTACACAGAATGAACATCTCATTTAACTTTTAGGACTTTGTTGGGGGGAGGGTTATAATAATCTACCTAATCAACATTTTTATAAGTAAAATTATTTTGACTTAAGTAACTTAACTGATCATTTCACCAGTTAATCAATAAAAGCAGTAAGGACCTACAGAAATCTTTGTGATTAAGGCACTTCTGATCTTTCGGTGACATAATCCCTGCATCTATATTCCGGGATGGCTTCTCCCGGTATCTCAAAATTATATTTCAATTCATTAAAAATAAATCACAAGATGACAAGAAACATTTAAAAATAACAGAATTCACAATATACTTTGGGATATTCTTGGTAATCATACCAAATGTGAACAACTGAACTGCCAATATGCTTTGTCAGATTCCCAATAATCATATAAATTTGAAGCGAGTGACTTTTTGGTTAAGTTTGAAAACGTTGACATTCACTGAGTTCGTACCATGTTCAAGCTTGAGAAAATGACTCTCTCCCTTTTTTTTTGACATTTTATTTATTTATTTTTGAGAGAGAGAGAAAGAGATCACAAGCAGGGGAGGGGCAGAGAGAGAGGAAGAGAGAGAATCCCAAGCAGGCTCCTCGCTGTTGTCAAGCCACGGGCTCCATGCCTATTAACTCAAAGTGATATCAAACCCCGTTTGAAAGATTTCAAGTCAGTGGAGGCTTTATAACAAGAAGTGTAACCGAAATCAAAGGAAGGAGGATGTTGTGTTCTAAACACTATCTAGACTATTTATGATTTAATAAATGGTAAGCCAGGCTGTCGGAAAAGCTTCCTATTAACATTCAAGAGATCACAAATATACTTCTCTACTTATTTTATCAAAGGGAAGGGTTTTGGAAAATTGAATATAAAGACAATCCATTCATCTTTTTAAAATACTCAGATTTATGATTTGGGTTCTCATCTGACTGAATCCAATGTTCTTAACCTCAACTCTCAAGGTAGTTCAGGTGTGCAGGTGCCTCCACATGCTTACAGGAGTCCTATCTCGTGCCTGAGCTGCCAGGGACAGACTTGAACTTGCAGCTCCTGCAAAGGAGTCAAGGCCTCCACGGCACACTGGTCCTGTTAGCCTTTCCTACGTAACGACGACACGTGACAGGATCCGATGTTTCGGACCCTCACATCGAAGGGAGCTCATCAGACTTTCCCTGAACAATCCAAAGCCAGCTGGCCTTTGATCCCCCAACATTTCATCTATCATCCGTTTACAACGTCTATTTTTTTCTTCTTTTTTCCTTTGGAACAAAGAAGGGAGACAACACTTTACAGAAGGACAGAAGTGAGGTGAGAACAATTCAAGAATCAATGAGCCTGTGGTATTTTAAAGGGTGCAGTCAGCCAGCTGTAAACAGAGGAAGTTACGAGAAGCCGTCGAGGTGTTAATAACCCAGAGAATTACTTAGAGATTACTGCGCAGGAGTAATGTAGTCTCAAAATCCTCTAGAAGGCAGTTTTTAGAAATCCGTTAAGGCTCGACTACCTGCTTGTGAAACACTTTATCTTCAGTTGTTATTAATGATTAATAAGTCTTCTGTTATTAATTAAACTCATGTCTTGAAATGAGGATCCTGAAAAATCCTAGCTGCTCACTGCTTGCTGCGGGCAAACAGTCAGGAATCTAGGATGGATGAAGCGACCACCGCCTGCTGGTAAAATGCACACGACTCTGACCCTGAGAAGCAAGAAGCGGCCGGATTTCAGAGACAACTAAGTACTTGGGCTCCTGCAGAAGTGCCTCATCTCCATCAGGACTCGCTCCATCGTGTCCCAAAACTCCGCAGGGCCCTGGGCATCCAAGCCTTCACCAGTGAGCTCCCTCAAATGGATTTCTCTGGCTCTTTGCCTAGATGACGACTCATCCGCCTTCAGGGAAAATTCCTCGAGTCCTGCAGGTTTTGTTCTCGACAGCATTTGTCATAACTTGCCACCCACATCTGCTTGTGTCATCACGTTTTTTAAATAACTTAATTTTTAGAGCAGTTTTGGGCTCGCAGCAAAATGGGGAGGATGGTACTGAGGTTTCCCATGTACCCCCATCCCCACACGCACACAACCTCCTCACTGTCAACTTCCCCTGCTAGTGTGGTGTACCTGCTACCATTTAGTTATTTATCAATTTATTTTTGAGAGAGAGAGAGAGGCGGGGGGAGGGCAGAGGTGGAGGGAGAGAAGGAATCATAGAGGTGGGGTGTCCGTCTCTTGACCCTGGGACCATGACCTGAGCCAAAATCAAGAGTCTAACCCTCAGCCAACTGAGCCACTCAGGCGCTTCTGTTACGACTTAGAAACCTACATGGACACACCATCACTGCTGAGAGCCCATAGCGTATGTCAGGGCTTGCTCTCCGTGCGGTAGGAGATTTTCTCCTACGTGATCTCCTAGGAGTTCTATAGTTTTGCATCTTACACTTAGGTCCGTGATCCATTTCGAGTTAATGTTTGTGAAAGGTGAGAAGTCTGTGTCCAGATTCACTTTTTTTTTTGCATGCGGACGTCCAGTTTTTCCGGCATCATTTGTTGACGAGGCCATCTTTGCTCCATTGGGTTGCCTTTGCTCTTTTGTCAAAGGTAAGTTGGCTATATTTGTGAAGATCTCTTTCTGGGCTCTCCCTTGTGCTCCACTGATATATCTGCCTATTCTTTTCCCAGCATGGCACTCTCCTGATTACTACAGACTTCAGGTGAATCTTAAAGTCTGGCAGACTCCATCCTCCAGCTGTGTTCTTCTTCATGAATATTGTGTTGTCCATTCTGGGTCTCTTGCCTCTCCATAGAAATTTTAGAATCATTTGGTGGATACCTACAAAATAACTTGCTGAAATTTTGATTGGGATTTCAGAACTGACATCTTGACAATATTCAGCTCTATACTGATAATTAAGATGGAGGGATGACTTCCATGCAGAACCTGTGTGATTTCCTTTAATACCTGAATTACATAAGCTCCAGGAGACCCTGTATCTGTAATGTTTTGTACATAATTCGTGTTTGATAAATATTTGCTAAACCAACAATCAGCTGCGAGGCAATTATTCAGGTCAACCAGGAAATGTCACCATGAGCTGTAGTTAAAGTCAAAGCCATGAAGAAAGGCAATGCTACTCAGAACTTGGAGAAGATAGTTTTTCTTCTTCTATAATTGGTTCTTTAATCAATGTCTTTGAATATGGAATCAGTTACCTTGAAATATTAGATAACTTTAAATGCCCAAAGTTTTAAATCTAGCATAAGTTTAAATACTATCGGAATGCATCAGTGGTATTTACTGACTCCAGCACAAAAAGTTTAAACATCTTCCTCATTGAATTTAGAGAATAAAAAAACTGCCTAATATTTAGAAATAATTCTGGTACACATAGTTCTAAATACATGAAGCTTCAATCAAATCACAAAATGTTACAATTATTTTAATCCATGAGAAAAGCCATAAACAAGTCAGAAATGTTATGGTCTTTCTACGAACCCAAATTCTACAAGTGATTTAATAGAACAGAGATTACTTTCTGACCATTTCATTGTGGTTTAATTAAAATGTAATAATAGGGGCGCCTGGGTGGCTTAGTCAGTTAAGCGTCCGACTTTCACTTAGGTCATGATCTCGCGGTTCGTGGGTTCGAGCCCCGCGTCGGGCTCTGTGCTGACTGCCAGCTCAGAGCCTGGAGCCTGTTTCAGTCTGTGACTCCCTCTCTCTCTGACCCTCCCCTGCTCACGCTGTCTCTCTCTCTCTCCAAGAAATAAATAAAACATTAAAAAATTAAAAAAAATAAAAATAAAAAAAATAAAATGAAATAATAAACTGTGCATATTTAAAGTGTACAATTGATCAGTGCTGATGTGTGCACACACCCCTGAAATCACTACAGTCAACATAGGCCTTGAATTCATGTTGGTGATAAGCACTTTCTTTTTAACGTCAATTCTCCTTACGTTCTAACAAAGAGGTAATTTTTTATTGTGTTATGGTGTGTAACCCAATGTCCAATCGGTTCTTTCCAGCCCCTTGTAATGGGGCCGGGGTCGTTCCCATGTCTGCCCCTCACCTTACAAAGTGGACCAACCCTGTCTCTGCCCTCCTAGGGCCCCATCCTGGGGGGTGCGTCAGCAAATGCGACAGGGAGGGGGCACTGGTAAGTCTCCAGGGAGCTCTAAATGTCACTTAAACTGGAAGCTGATTAGGTGATGGGCTGGTGGTTACTTTGAATGGCAGTAGGGAGCAAGCTCTGGATGTTATATTGGCTTCCACTCCACTCCAAGGACTGTCTGCAGAAAGCTCTTGCCCACAGCTTTGTGCCCCCAAGTGACCCGATCAAGCTTTCCCCATGGCAGGGCCGGGGGATGGTCCTCGCTCTCCAGGACCTTTCAGGAGCCCATCATCTGATCATCTATTGTCTCTCACTTTGAGAATTGAAGTCAGCACTATATTTTTTGTTATTTCCTTTAACATTTTTATTTATTTATTTTTTATGTAGCGCCAACACCAAAGGCAATACTCAGCACAGAGCAGAGATCCAACAACTGTTTGATACAAGAATGAATGAGTGAGTGTGTCTTTAAAATATTCAGACCTCTTAGGATACAAAAAAAGTTTCTTTCAGAGTTCTTCACTGCCAGACCTTTGCTGACGCTTTATGCGGTAGCATGAAAATATACCACCATAAGCATCTAGTGGTGATTCATCTGTCCCTTGGAGCCAGTTTTGACTTGAGCAGTTGAGGGAGATTTCTTCCCTGGATTTGATCTTCACAACAGCATCGCGAGGCAGCTATGATGACAATTACCAAGGGACAGAGATTAGGTGACTTTCCAGGGTAACCCATCTGGTAAGTCCAGGAGTAAAACCCAGTTTCAGAGGCACCTGGGGGGGCACAGTCAGTTAAGTGTCTGACTCCTGGTTTCAGCCCAGGTCATGATCTCACGGTTTGTGAGTTTGAGCCCTGCATCAGGCTCTGTGCTGACAGCGCGAAGCCTGCTTAAGAGTCTCTCTTTCTCCCTCTCTCTGCCCCCTCCCTGCTCATCCTCTCTCTCTTAAAATAAATAAATGAAACTTTATAAAAAAACAGTTTCAAACTCAGGCAGTCTGAGGTTGGAGATTAAACTTTTAGGCTCTAAAAACCCTCTGGCTTTTTAACTGGCACACTTTTAAGACTGCAAATAATGTATTCTGTTGGTAAGTATCAAATACTCTTTGAGTGAAGAACAAAAATCATGTTTCAGTATGTAAATATTGCCTTGTAGGACTTTTGAATGACTGGTGTATGAAAATATTGAGTTCCTGTAAATGCTTACATCTAACATAGGGAAGCACTCAAGATGAGTAAGAACAATGTTAACAGCTAAAGAAGAGAATACTTTTTCTGGAATGGTAAAGATGGATGGGAAAGATGAGATGATGAAGCCTCATCATTTAAGACAAAGAACATACCAGGGCGCCTGGAGGGCCCAGTTGGTTAAGCATCTGACTTCGGCTCAGGTCATGGTCTCATGGTTCGTGAGTTTGAGCCCTGCATCAGGCTCTATGCTGACAGCTCAGAGCCTGGAGCCGCTTCTAATTCTGTCTGTCTGTCTGTTTCTCTCTCTCTCTGCCCCTCCCTGGCTCCTACTCTGTCTGTCTCTCTCAAAAATAAATAAACACTACAATTTTAATTTTAAAAAGACAAGGAACGGGGCGCCTGGGTGGCTTAGTCGGTTAAGCGTCCGACTTTCGCTTAGGTCATGATCTCGCGGTTCGTGGGTTCGAGCCCCGCGTCGGGCTCTGTGCTGACTACCAGCTCAGAGCCTGGAGCCTATTTCAGAGTCTGTATCTCCCTCTCTCTCTGACCCTCCCCTGCTCATGCTGTCTCTCTCTCTCCTAGAAATAAATAAAAATATTTAAAAAAAAAAAAAAAAAAAAAAGACAAGGAACATACTTAGGTCAGACACTCAGAGACAGTAGGTGAGTGCCCAGCAGTTCCATCAGCCTGATTGTCACCAAGTCCCTCAAGGGCTTTCATCTCTGGAGGTAGGGCTGGACCCAAAGTCCCTACCCAGTCACCGGTGAATGGAAGGGTAGAGAAAGGGATGATCCCATCCCTTCCAGAACCCAGGCACAAAGTCATTATGAGCACAGTGATAGCAAAACAAGCCTTACCTTTCAACCCCCTGCAAGCAGTACCGTGGGCTAGGCACTGGGCCTTAACGCCCTGGGTTAGCTGTCAGTGCGCACGGTGTAAACCTGCCTCGGGGAAGGATGGGGGAACCGGGGAGAGGAGCTCTGTGAGGGCAGCTGAGAACACGCCGCGTCCCCCTGGGTGGGAGTCAGGAGCTCTCTGACTGGAGATGATGAGACAACACAGTAATGTATATTATTTCTTCATCTGTCATTGATTTTTGGACACGGGCTTCTAATATTTACTGAAAGTTAATTTAAGTGACTATTAATTTAATATTTAAATTCCATGTTTATCGGAAATGATTTTTATGGAAAAGATGCTGCAAGTGACATGAACCAAGTCTGGAAGATCAGATACAAACACGGTTCCCCTCGACACTGTAAAATTATTTCAAAAAAGAGACTACAATTTCTCCAATACGGTCAGAATGATTGTCACATCGCCAGGCTCATATCAATAATGGTTACGTTTCATTGGACACTTTGGCATACACGATCTGAGTTACTCGTATCAGTTTCTTCCTTGCCATGCTTGGCAAATGGGAGCCAGTGAATTCGCATTTGGAAGACTCTCTCACACTCAGAGCTGTTTGTGTTCATAAAATCCAGAGAGCTTCCTGGCTCTAAGACATGGGATAGTTTCCCTAGAATAGCAGCTCTGAATTCACAAGTTATTGTAATTTTTCGGAGTGAAGTACCTTTATATCTGTTTGTGCCTATGAACTAAACGCCAAAGTTTCATGAGAGCACTCAATAGATATTTTTTAACCAACTGTTAAATAGTGTTTAGCTGCCTTGTTTCAGCTTCTAGGGCTGAAGGGGTGGCCATCACAGACACGATCCATGGTCTGATGGAGCTGATTATGCATGGGTGAAAGCAATTTGGAGAAGCCAACATCCTACACATAAGCCACAGTTACCCTAAGATCTCATTTTGCTTGAGCCACAGAGGATCCTAAACTCTGGTGTGTCATGAGGTCAGGAAATCACAGGGAGACAGCGTGGACAGGGGCATGGAGTACTCTCCACACAACAGCCAATTGTCTCTGTCATGAAGAGTAGCAAATCGATATTGCTCACTTCCAAACCACAACATAAAAATTCAGACTTCATGTTTTCAAAGTATTTAAACTCTAGGCCAATCACCACATTCAACTTCTCAATTTGGATTCTAACAAGGTTGAAACAATTCACTGAATTAAGGAATGCAGTGAGCTTCTGAATGTACAGAATGGTTGTTAATTTTATCCAAACATGGTAAGCAACAGGAATGTTTGAATTTTTTAATAAAATGAGAGCTTTATTGAGAATAAAATGTCTTTCTATGAGATGGCTGGAACTGAAATAAGATACTAAAGCCTGTCATTATAAAATCATAAATTTGAAGAATTTGGTTCTATGAGGTTTTTGTGAGGGTTGCCTGGGTGGCTCAGATGGTTAAGCATCTGATTTTGGCTCAGGTCATGATCTCACGGTTTGAGAGTTCAAGCCCCTCATCAGGCTCTGTGCTGACAGTTCAGAGTCTGGAGCCTGCTTAAGAGCCTATGTCTCCCCCTCTCTCCGACCCTCCCCTGCTCTGTCTATCTCTCTCTTTCTCAAAAAATAAATAAACATTAAAAAACATGTAAAAAAAACCAATTTTTTTAAAAAGCTTAAGTTTTTGTGAAATCTTTGCACAAAATGGCAAGTTGACTATAAGCATCTAACTAACCTTCCCCAGGGCTTGTCACATTCTGATGAAAGTGACAAAAGGATCAAACTATGGATAAACTTTATCCTTAGAAAAATGAGAAAAATAAAGACGGTGTCACAAAGTGGTATTTTCTACTTTAAAGATTCCTTCTGTTTTATTGTTATGTGTGTTCTGTATCTTACATCTCCTGATGTATTTTCATTTTGAAATAGTTGCGATAATAGGTCATGCTTTGTGTCGAATGGCCTTCTCTGGCTTTATTTGGCCAGAAACATTGGCAACACTGTGATCCTCCTGTGTGTAACTGGTCTTCCTATTTCTCCATGTTTGTGTGTGTTTTATGATCCCTGAAATCCAATGGCTGATGTAGGCAATGATTACATGCATTTAATTCTGGATAAACCAGAAATTTTCATTGCTTCCATAAAGTTTTATGTAAAAAAACCTCATAACTATACATTTGTTTGCCAGTGTTCCTGCGGATCTCAGTGGACCGGCGCTGGTGATCACCCTCCGTGACACACAGCTTGTGACCCTGCTCTGAAGTGACTATTCCTGCAGCTTCCCAGGGGGCTTCCCATGCACAGGTCTGAGCCCTTACCTGGTGCTCACCTCTCATGAGAGGACCTAGTCCTTCCCCGTGCTTGACCACTGGATGAGTCACGTGGTGACATCACCCACTGAGGGACAAAGCACCAGCGCGCCATATTCTTTTCAGGGCACTCGACTGTGGATTCGCCTTGGTTGTTTTTGAACAAAATGAAAGTGGATTGAAAAGAATAATTGTTACGAGTGGCCTAGAGGCTGTAAAATTCATCTATTTCTCTGCATGTGCTAATTTATGTTCCAGTAAGCAGGGTGAAGGGTGAGCTTAAATGTGGACCACATTATTTTGGCCCCATGGAGATCTGCTTTTCCTGGAATGCAATTTTGCATTATCGCCATCACCTGATTTGGGGAATGTTTTAAGAAACAACCCCATGAAAACAAAGCAGATTCACCCAACGACAAGAAAGAAGAGAAGAGAGGAGAGGAGAGGAGAGGAGAGGAGAGAAGAGAAGAGAAGAGTAGGGAAGAGAGAGAAGAGAAGAGAGGAAAGGAAAAAAGAAAAGAAAAGAAAAGAACCCCATGAATACACTTCACTGTTTAAAATGTTGGTATCACAGGGAGAGGCACAAAACATAACAGACTCTTACATATAGAGAATAAACAGAGGGTTGCTGGAGGGGTTGTGGGGGAGGGGATGGGATACATGGGTAAGAGGCATTAAGGAACCTACTCCTTAATGAAACTCCTTAATGAAATCATTGTTACACCATATATCAACTAACTTGGATGCAAATTAAACAATAAATATTTTTTTTAATGTTGGTATCATACTCAAGGTCCATGCTGTGAGATCCCAATGGGAGCACTTATTTGAGAGCACTTGTTGTAAACCAGACACCATCTTCCTTTCATACGCCTGCCTTATTTTTGTCAGGTTTTCATCAGCTCCATGGGGTTTGTTATTGTTTAAATACAAGACAGGATAGAAGTAAGAAAACATTTAAAAGATGCCAGGGCACCATGTGGGCATATGTTACCCAAAAAAGCAGGAATTATAAATGCTGAGATATAGAGAAAGCTGCTCACTGCAGAGTCTAAGTTAACTAGAGACAGGTTTTTAATGGATTGAATACAAAAAAAAAAAAAAAATCACATACTTTCAATAGAAGAAACAGCAAATTTTTGTTTAAAAAAATCATGGTATTAGAGGAAAGATGAGAATTTTACTACAATATCTTTCCTGCTTCCTACCCTGTGATTTAGCTGGTAAATGGAAATTGAAATGAAGGACATTGTCGTTTTTGCAATGTATTTAATAGAGTCTTCTGTTCAGGCAGGGAGTTTTCAAACCTTCCTCCTGACATCTCCCGCAGACCCCGGGGGCCAGCAGCGTCAGAAGGACATCAGAGTCCTGGAAACAAGTCGCCATTGGACTCTGATCCCCAGATCTTTGGGACAAACCCAATCCGGATTCCTGGATTGGGAATGAAAACTGGGAGGCCACGTGTCCCTCAGTCCACTGGGACATGGGATTCTCTTCTGAGAAGGAATTTATTTCCTAAGGGGGAAAACTTGGGCTTTAAAGTCATACTGTCTTAGAAGAGTTCCACTGTGGACAAACTCTGCCCACAGCAGCAGGTGATCTGGAGGCAGCACCTGCTCGCCTCGTGACCGTGACAGGTTCCACGAGCTGGACTTGAGCCTTTCAGGCCTGGACACTCTCGACATGCAAACTCTTGTATGGTAGCTGCTGTATTTTTCCTAGAAAGTCTAGAGCTAAAGAGCTACTCTTCTGTCTTACAGTGTAGACGGGTATTCCGCTGTGACGCGGTAGAAATATTTTCGAGTTGTACTCTAATTCGTTTCAAAGAAGACTGCTTATATTTTGCCTTCACTGTCACTGACAGCAAGGTCAGACGAAACGAATGAAATAATTGTACTGTGGCTACATGCACAGGGCTGTCCTCTACACGGAGCGCCTATAGGATATTTAATATAAAATACAGAAATAAATATGTGCAATTTGAATAGATTTAATAAAGCCTTACAAAGCATGGGCTCTATGTTAGAAGTGTCAGTTATGAAAGATGAAGAAATCTGAGGGCCAAGGGAAACATTGCAATTTATGAAAACTTGGCTTGAGCCATAAACTTGAGTCCCCAAACTGAAATGTCAAGACAGCTTAAACTTAATTAGCATGAGTTAGAGAAAGAAAAATTCAGAACATGTGTTTGAACCCAGCTCTTGGCCATTTATGCAAATAAAATGCGTTGTTTACAGCAATTGTCAGACTGAAAGATTTCATTCTTAAGAATTGCTTTGTTTCCTTTTTGAGTTTCTTTTAGTTTTTACAAGAGGAGTTTGTAATTTGGGCGTAAAATAAATGCTAGAAATGAAACATTTGCCATCAAATAACCATCGATGTCATTTTTGACATTAGCCCATTGTTAATATGTTTGTAGGCAAAATGAGCTGCATTTTTCATATGAATCTGCTCATTTCGGTGGATTCCATTTGCTACTTGTCTCCTTTGAATGCCCATGAGTGCTGCAAACACCTGCAGGCCACGGTGTGCTTAATCCCACACAGCTCGGATTTTCTAGAAAGTCAAATAGAGCTCCTTTGATAGGACCAGCAAAGGTTCCTGAGGTTACGCTGCTTGGATGTCTGGGATCACCGAGTTCGGTGAAGTTATGTTGGCCCCACGAATTCACAAATTCTGTACACATTAGCTCATGCTGTAACAGCAAACTACCCCACACTCAATGGCTTAAAACAGCCTCTCTTAGTGTGTCCAGAGCCGGCAGGCTGGGGATGAGCTGATCTCACCTGGACTTGGCTCATTTCTGCGGGGCTTCCTGGAGTGTCTGTAAGTTGGCTTGTTTTCTGGTTTTAGCCTCTTACACATACAGTAAAACCTTGGGTTTCGAGTAACTTGTTCCTCGAGTGTTCCGCAAGACGAGCAAACATTCCTAATAAATTTTAACTTGATAAACGAACGATGTCTTGGCAATATGAGTAGTAGGTGATGCCGGACGTCACAGGGTCACCAATGAGCCAATAGTTGTTGAAATTCGTCTTGATATAGGAGTGCTTTGGATGACAAGCGTGTTTCCAGAAAGAATTATGCTCTCAAACCAACGTTTTACTGTACCTGTGTTGTCATTTATGCCAGGGTTGAAGGGAGAAAAGGCAGTGGTGCCGCAGCAGATGGTCTTTTACTACAGTCTTGGTTCCTTCCCTTCCCCATTAGCGGGATCCTCCCCTGTTTCCTAGGCACGGGGTGTGTGTTGGGGTGGGCGGCAGAGGACGGGGTCCCTCTCCTGTGTCAGCTGTGTCCTCCATGCTTGCTGGCTACAGCTTCCAGGGTATATCAGAAATTCATCAATACTTCAATTATCAACACAGTTACAGATTTGATCCCTCTGTCCAACATCTCTGTCATTTCAACAGGAAACTTGGGAGGAAAATGAGAAAAAAAAAAAACCCACACGTACACGTATGTGTTTAATTCACCATTTTGTCTGAAAAAGCCACGAGTGAATTTCAAAAAAAAATCCACTGTGAATCATTTAGATTTTATAAGTTTTAAATTATAACAATCCGTATCTTTGTACCCAAGCTTTCAAGCAATGTTTTTATTAGGTCACATCCATTATTTCCACTTGCATACTAAGTTTATCAAGAATGGATTTTAAATTATTTATAATATTTGGTCACCACATTCTTTGCTTGATCAAATTAGGTATTTAATACACTTCTCATTCCAAGGCTTTCCATTAAAAAAAACTGTGTGTGTGCAAAACGATACAGAGAACAAACTGATATATAAAAAAAAAGCGTTTGCAGTTCATCAAAGCTCATGGAGGAGAGTAGGTCCCTGTGTCACAGGTACAGAGTGCCTCCATGCTTCCACCTGTACAGTATCTTCCTAAGCCCACCTGGAACCTTACAAAGGCTGAATGTGACGATCACTGTTGCCAAGGCAATATCTCTCTCAATCAAATCTCAAAGACTATTTCAGCATCTCTTCAGATGATTAATAATTCCTTACGGATATTCCAACATCTCATCCCAATTTTAGAAAATGGTTTGTGGGCCTGTGCACAGGCGCATGCGCATACACACATGCACACTCATGCATGCATGTTTTTAAGATGAGCAGTGAACGACATTATTCAGCAATTTGCTGACATCACTTAAAATGTAGTCCACAGCTCTCTTTAGAAAAACATGGCGCTGGGGCTTCTGGGTGGCTCAGCTGGTTAAGTGTTGGATTCTTGATCTTGGCTCAGGTCATGACCTCATGGTTCATGAATTTGAGCCCTGAGTCAGACTCCACAGTGTCACCTTGTGAGCCTCTCTCTCTCTACCCCTCCCCTACTCATGCTATCTCTCTCTCAACAACAACAACAACAACTTTAAAAAAATATGGCGCTGTTGGACATCCATGGTGTTATACAATCCTTAGTAAAACAATGATACTATGAACATGAAGTAAATTTCTAGTAGAAGATTAATGGGTCATTGTGTAATAGCTTAATGTGAATTCTGCCTTCAGAACTTGTTTCTCAAGTTCACCCTCTATTCTCGCTATTTATGGTATTAACTGCTGCGTGCTCTTCCAATGATGGTCTTACTCTAGAAATTCGTTGTGGTTGTTGTTTAAGTATAATCTTTTATCTAGGTACCCATGCATCTAATTCAAAGATGTCATGAATTGAAGGCAATACTGGAATCAGATTTCATTACTAAGCAGAAGCCAAGTTTGTTGAACACCTTCTGCTCTCAAGGACCAGAGTGGAAAGTGTGAGCACATCCACCTGCCCTTCCAGAATGGGGGCTGAAAATTGCGGGTTCATAGGTTGTAACCAAGCCTTTTGCTGAGTATTCATCACACACCAAATGATGGTTCATTCACCCAGGTGCCCCAGAAACCATCTTTAGTGCAGAATTCCTTGTTTAAAAAATGTTAGAGGATGACAATGAGGGTCTAGAAGAGCCAGATCAGTAACCAAAACTTCTAGCACCATCCTTGGAAGTTTGGACAGAAAGCTAAGCTCCAGATTGCAAGTAACATTAATACAGTGAAATATAAATGTTATAAATGTCATGTTCACCTAAATAAGCTTTTTGTGGAGAACTGTGCAAAATGATGATATATATAGTCCTTCATAAAATCACACAAGTACTGTTTATTTAAACATATAAAACAATCTGAGTTAATCATAAGATATAATTTACTTTTCAGGAAATTTAAGAAGACAAAGTACACTGGCCCAGAGAAGGGATATAATTGAATTTTATTATTATTTGTTTTAGTTGTTTATTTATTTTGAGAGAGAGAGAGAGCACGAGAAGGGGAGAGGCAGAGAGAGAGAGAGTGAAAGAGAGAGAGAATTCCAAGCAGGTTCCACATTGTAAGCACGGAGCCCAAAGTGGGGCTTGAACCCAGGAACCATGAGATCATGACCTGAGATGAAAATCAAAAGTCA